CCCTTCCCCTCTTTCCTTCTCCTCCTAGGCCGGCCTACTATGGAGGGCGCACACCGGCCCCTTGTGGCTGGTGTGTTCCCTTTCTTGGCCCATAAGGCCCATATCTTTTGCCGGGGGTGCCCGGAACCCCCTTTCGGTGACCCGTTAAGTACTCGGTACCCGACGAAACACTTCCGCTGTCTGAATACCATCGTCCTATATATCAATCTTTACCTCTCGACCATTTTGAGACTCCTCGTCATGTCTGTGATCTCATTTGGGACTTCGAACAACATTCGATCACCAAATCACATTACTCATATAACACTATATTGTCAACGAACGTTAAGCGTGCGGACTCTATGGGTTCGAGAACTATGTAGACATGACCGAGACACCTCTCCGGTCAATAACCAATAGTGGAACCTGGATGCCCATATTGGCTCCTACATATTCTACAAAGATCTTTATCGGTCAAACCGTTATGACAACATACGTAATTCCCTTTGTCTATCGGTATGTTACTTGCCCGAGATTCGATCGTAGGTATCTTCATACCTAGTTCAATCTCATTACCGACAAGTCTCTTTACTCGTTTCGTAATACATCACCTCGTGACTAACTCCTTAGTTATTTGCTTGCAAGCTTATGATGTGTATTACCGAGAGGGCCCAAAGATACTTCTTCGATACTCGGAGTGACAAATCCTAATCTCGATTTATGCCAACTCAACAAACACATTCGAAGATACCTGTAGAGCATCTTTATGATCACCCAGTTATGTTGTGACGTTTGATAGCACACAAGGTATTTCTCTGGTATCCGGGAGTTGCATAATCTCATAGTTGAAGGAATACGTATTTGACATGAAGAAAGCAATAGCAATAAACTGAACGATCATTATGCTAAGCTAACGGGTGGGTCTTGTCCATCACATCATTCTCCTAATGATGTGATCCCATTATCAAATTACAACACATGTCCATGGTTAGGAAATCTTAACCATCTTTGACCAACGAGCTAGCCTAGTAGAGGTTTACTAGAGACACGGTACTTGTTTATGTATTCATACATGTATTTAAGTTTCCGATCAATACAATTCTAGCACGAATAATAAACTTTTATCATGAATAAGGAAATATAAAATAACAACTTTATTATTGCCTCTAGGGCATATTTCCTTCAGTCTCCCACCTGCACTAGAGTCAATAATCTAGTTCACATCGCCATGTTAGTTAACACCAATAGTTCACATCATCATGTGATTAACACCCATAGTTCACATAGTCATGTGATTAACACCCATAGTTCACATCGCCATGTGACCAACACCCAAAGGGTTTACTAGAGTCAATAATTTAGTTCACATCGCCATGCGATTAACATCCAAAGAGTACTAAGGTGTGATCATGTTTTGCTTGTGAGAGAAGTTTAGTCAACGGGTCTGTCACATTCAGATCCATATGTATATTTGCAAATTTCTATGTCTACAATGCTCTGCATGGTGCTACTCTAGCTAATTGCTCCCACTATCAATATGTATACAGATTGAGACCCCGAGTCATCCGAATTGGTGTCAAAGCTTGCATCAGCGTAACTCTTTACGACGAACTCTTTATCATCTCCATAACCGAGAAATATTTCCTTAGTCATCTTAGGTAACTATGGATAAATTTTGACTGCTGTTCAGTGATCTACTCCTAGATCACTATTGCACCCCCTTGCCAAACTCATGGCAAGGTACACAATAGGTCTGGTACATAACATGGCATACTTTATAGAACCTATGGCTGAGGCATAGGGAATGACTTTCATTCTCTCTCTATCTTCTGTCGTGGTCGGGTTTTGAGTCTTACTCAACATCATACCTTGCAATGCAGGAAAGAACCCTTTCGTTGACTGATCCATTTTGAACTTTTTCAAAACTTTGTCAAGGTATGTGCTTTGTGAAAGTCCTATTAAGCGTCTCGATCTATCTCTATTAATCTTGATGCCCAATACATAAGTAGCTTTACCGACGTCTTTTATTGAAAAGTTCTTAGTCAAGTATCCTTTTATGCTATCCAGAAATTCTATATCATTTCCAATCAACAATATGTCATCCACATATAATATCAGAAATGCTACAGAGCTCCCACTCACTTTCTTGTAAATACAGGTTTCACCATAAGTCTGTATAAAACCATATGCTTTGATCATCTCATCAAAGCGTATATTCCAACTCTGAGATGCTTGCACCAGTTCATAGATGGATCGCTGGAGCTTGCACATTTTGTTAGCACCTTTAGGATCAACAAAACCTTCTGGTTGCATCATATACAACTCTTCTTTAAGAAATTCATTAAGGAATGCAGTTTTGACATCCATTTGCCAGATTTCATAAAATGCGGCAATTGGTAACATGATTCAGACATACTTAAGCATCGCTACGGGTGAGAAAGTTTCATCGTAGTCAACCCATTGAACTTGTCGAAAACCTTTTGCGACAAATCGAGTTTTGTAGACAGTAACATTACCATCAGCGTGTGTCTTCTTGTTGAAGATCCATTTATTCTCTATGACTTGCCGATCATCGGGCAAGTCCACCAAAGTCCACACTTTGTTCTCATACATGGATCCTATCTCAGATTTCATGGCTTCAAGTCATCTGTCGGAATTTGGGCTCATCATAACTTCTTCATAGTTCGTAGGTTCGCCTTGGTCTAGTAACATGACTTTAGGACAGGATTACCGTACCACTCTGGTGCGGAACATGTTCTGGTTGACATATGAAGTTTAGCAGTAACTTGATCTGAAGTTTTATGATCATCATTAGCCTGCTCTCTAGTTGGTGTAGGCATGCCGAAAACGATTTTCTATGATGTGCTACTCTCCAATTCGAGAGAAGGTGCAATTACCTCATCAAGTTCTACTTTCCTCCCACTCATTTTTTTCGAGAGAAACTCCTTCTCTAGAAAGGATCCATTCTTGGCAACAAAGATCTTGCC